ACTTTCCAGCGGTGTATCAACCTTGCTCAGATTACACCAGTAGTGTGACCCTGCACACAGCAATGGTGTGGGAAGACCATTCCTAATGGCAGAGCAATCAGTTCTTGTTGTCATAATGAGGTTAGTCTAACCGCTAGATCAGGGTTGCTTAACTTGCGGAGCCTGATTTGCAGCAGACAGGCGACTGTCATCCTACACCTTAGAGCACTCCAGTCACCTCAAACCTCCGCTTCAGGGACAGATTTAATTTCTCAGGCCATACAGCCAGCAGTCTGGCTGCAATCCAATTATACTAAATGGCTTCAGAAGTGTATCCAGAGACAATTTCACTTGCTAATCACCAAAAAGCAGGCTAACACAGTGCTTCCCTTGACATGCATTTCTTCTGTCCTCACGGACTTTGCTGAACACCTCCAGAAGACCGAGGCATAAGGTCTCACATGCATAGTGATTCTGATTTACCACAACATTCTAGCTCTTCTTGTATCATGATTTGACAGGTATCTTGAAGATGTGTCCCCAGAAGGCTGAGCTGCAAGTCAGTCCTGATTGCAGGAAGGGGATCACGGCAATGTATTCCCTATCTTCTGGCAGTCTACAAATGAAGCGAGTTTCCTTTGAAGGGAGGACTACTACCCTCTTACTTTTTCAAGCTATTAACTAACACCACAGAACTCTGATACTCTCAAGAATTTCTTCTGTTGCCCTAAGTAGGGCCTACTATTTAAAAAATATCTCTTAAGACGGTTCCTGAAAAAGAACAGGGATGAAAGAACTAGGTAGTTAGACATCAAATAGAGAGTCCTATATGTGATGGTGTCCACAACCTACTGCACTGTGACTTTGGGGCCTGAGGTAGGGCTCCGCAGGGACTGCATTTGATTCTTGACTCTCTGGATCGGTCATCAGCACCGCCACACTGACTGCTCTTGCTGTGAAGGCAGATGAGATGACAGGCATGTTGTGGTGTGTTGCCAGTCAATGGAAACCTCATTTTTTACTTTGGCAGCTTACAAGAACTGCAGAAGAAAAATCAACAAAAACTGCAGAACCACGGTCTGAATACTCATCCATTTTCTTCTGTGGGTTAAAGCTATTCTTATGTCACACTAGAGTCATCAAGACTTAAACTTTGCTCTCTGTATTAGCCCACGGCAGATCCAACCTCTCAAATGGCAAGAGCCTCCTAGAAATCACCACCTAGATCTGCACCTAGTAGCCGGTACAACTGTTGCAAAACCACTGCAGCATTTAGTGAATAGGAAATTATGTTGTCAGCAGTAATCCGTCTTACAAATGACAGAAGGCCAAGTGTCACATTTAAAGACAGACAGAAGATACGTGAGGTACACAATCTATTTTCACACTTTAGATCCCTGAAAATGAAGGCCATAGATGAAGCCTTACAGGCTTCTCACCATTTACACAGATCTTGAAAATTAAGTATACAACCACAGAGCATATTCCTGGGAGATTCTCCTGGTAAGATTTTCTCAAGTAATAAAGTATATTGGATAGGATTATTCTAACTTTAGGTTTTTGCTACAGTGTCAGATACATTTGAGCTAATCAATTCTACAGAAACAGGCCTTCTGATAGCCAAGTGTATCTCATTCTAAGGTAAACTTCTAAAATAGGTCAAATGAATTGATGTTGCTGCTTACTCATAGCAACATGAGTAAGATCTGCCACATATTTATTCTCCAAACCTTTCCCCAGAGAAAGAAGTATGGACAATGGAGCATTGCAGTGAATAGGTTTTGGGTGTATCAGAAAGAGCCCCTCTGCTCTCTGAAGCCTCAAACTGCATTTACATAAAAAAAATAATTGTATCGTTTCTTTGTTCTTTTTCCTGTTTTTAACTAGTGACTCAGGGGGCACATCTGCACAAAGCTCAGAAAAATACAGTGCAGAAATACTTAAAAATAGCCAGACCAGTCATACAAATGTAACATCTCCAACAAAAGATAATGCGTATTGAAGAGTTTAAGAGGATAAACAAACAGCAGTAGCTCCCGAGAACACTCTCCCAGCATTGCACAGTCTGAAACGTAGGAGACGCCTTTGTATATAACAGTGCTTAGAGTATTTTTATTCCTTTACTTCATTCAGTTGTCTTTGAATCCATGTACATTTTTAGCATCTAGAACATCCCAGGAAAAGGAGCACAAAAATAACAGACGCACACAAATTTACATAGCTCTTGATGCCTCAACCAAGAGACAGAGCATGTTAACACCATTCACAGCAGGAGGAAAATAGTGATTCTACCTCCAGAAAGGAGCTAATAATTCCACACAGCACTGTACTATTCTGCATAGACATGACAACGCTGGCTAGCAGAACCTGGGTGGCTGGATCTCAGTTTCTCCATTTAGCTATGCATGTACAAAATGTTTTGTTTGCCTTTGTTTTAATCAGCTTTTGGTTTTGCCAGTTTCAGATTCCATGGTAGTTCATTTTTAATTTGCAACAATAGTATGGCTTTTATCTAGTCTTTATTAAGAGAGTTATAATGTTCAGGAAAAGTACAGTGTCTTGATATTAAATATGATCTGACTGTTGAGCCTTACGTAAACTAACAGGAGCTTTGGGATTTGGCCTGACAGTGAATCTGCGAGGCACTACGCAAAAAACCCCCAAACATTATTAACCATGGAAACTGTAATAACAACTTGTACTGGAAAAGCAACGTAGCCTGGTAATTTTAAAGAAAGATAACATCAGAGAAGGAGCTACAGAAAGAGCCAAGGGAAAACACAGCGCCATTCTAGATCAATCTCATTCAATCTACAATGTTTTATAATAACTCTGCCCATTAATTCACATCTGGGAGCACAGAAAAGTAAAAACTGTCTAGCTGGATCAAATCAAGGGTTTCTCTAGTCAAGTATATGACTACAACTGTGGCAACAACGGATGCCTACAGAACAGTATAACAACAAGGCAACCTTAAAGACTTCTACAGTGGGTTTCCCACACTTCAGTGTCTTGGAGCTCAAGAATTTTCAGACAAGCAGCAATGTCTGTCTAACACACTCCATGGATTTTTATTCCATCAATTTTCTAATAGATTTTCAGAGTGTTTAAACCCTGTGGCAGAGTGTTCGAACTGTAGTCATGTAACAGAAAGAATGAGCCCTTTCTATCCTTTTTGAACTTGCTATCAGATAGGTTTGATGCTCTAGCTTGCATACTGAAAAGGAGAGTAAAATAAAAAAATAAATCTCTATTAACCTTTTCTGTTCCATCCCTGATCGCATAGAGCACAGAATAGGACATATTTCATCTCAGTTGTGTCTTTTTCAAATTGAAGTCCACATTGTCACACCTTAATTGGAAGATGGAGCTATCAAGAGCATTGGGCCTCTGAACCTTTTCCAGTAATATCAGATCCACTTTGAGATGTGGGAAACAGAACCGTATACATCATTCAGGATGCAGCACAATACGGTTTCATTAATAACAGTGACATTAAGATGCTTTTGCTTTGTTCCCTATTCTCTTCCTAATCATTCCTAAATTCCGTTTGTTTATTTGACCAGTGCTTAACAGTGAGCATATGTTTTCATTGATCTGTAATTCCAAGGTCACTTTCCTGAACAGTAATAGCTAGTCCAGGGTCCAACATGAAATATATAATGTTTGCTTTGGTTTTCCTCTTCATCTGCATCACTTTACTATTACTTCCTCTGAATTTTACATACCACTCTATGATTCAGTCCCTCAACATTGCAAAGTCTCTTGACCATCTTTGCAGCCTGCTCTCCATTTTTCTACCACATATAACTTAGCATCAGCAGCAAATATCATTAACTCATCTCTTTGGTAATATTATATGTCTACCTCCCATTTTTAACAAAACACAATTTGAGACAGAAATATTAAGTAAAAATGAAAGATAATTTCATAATTCTGTATCCTGTTACTTACAAATTTTAAACCTGACAGTTGAAGTGAAACTCTACTTCTTTCAGTACTTAGAAATCTGGATAATTACAAATTAAACCAAACCCTGTGCCGTTACTAAAATGTTGCATACATATGAAAGCAGCATGTCAACCAATAAAGCGCAACACTGAAATTCTGAGCCTCTCAGAGCAACAGCTGCCTTTAAAAGGCTTACTTGTTTAAGGCACTGAAAGAAAAGAAACTTGAAGTATACGATTAAAAAGAACCTAAACTGACAGAATTGAGGGTTGAGGACTTAAACTGTGATGCTAAAGATACCACTGAAATAAAAAAAAAAAACCAAAAAAACAACTAACACATGTATCTGGAGAGTTTCATTCATTTATATATTGACTGACTTCCATGTATATGCAGAAAATCCACTATTATTTCAACTGTTACTATGGAACAGAAGAAAAAAAAAAAGGAAAAAAAAAAAAAATCACAAGAGGCCAAATGACCAGAAACTCCAGCAACACACTGTTTCCTCAGTCTTATGAGGGCTGTGTTCTATAATGAAGATGCTAAATATTAGACTAGTAGACTTCCTCTAATACAGGTAACTAGCTCTAAACTCAGTAAACATGTACAACTGCCTTAATTTGCACACTAACATCCTGAAATGAAATGAAACTTACCCTCTTGTCTACACGGGTAGGCTAACATGTTTCTTACCCATGCCTGTTCCCAAGTCTTTGCTTAGAGGTCAGTGGTGTTTATCTCAAGCTCTACCAAGCGGCCTGTTGAGAGCATAAGAGCTCTTTTCTAGGCGTGCAGACCACAAACTGCACAGTGGAACTAGTGAATTCCTTTGGTTCTGCATAGCTCCCCTTCCAGAAAAAACGAAACAAGCAACCACATCTGCAGAGAATACTATTGGTATACCATTTTTCAGTGTGCTACAAAAACATGGCAGCGCAGGTAAGAGAAGTTAATTTTCTAACATAAGAGTTCTATCCTCCCATTTCTGTACATGATTACAGATAAGCCACTGACATAAATGAACACTTCCCATGAGTCAAATTACAAATCAATATACGTGAACATACCTTTTCGCCAGGAGTACCAACAACGCCATCCTGTCCTTTTGCGCCCATTTCACCCTACAAAACAAATTATTCTGTTAGAAGTTTAAAGACTTCTGAGGTTAAAAACAACTACTCAGGTCATATCTGATTCAACAGAAAAGCACCTTCTACCCTGTTTTTGTCGTGCTTAGTAATGTAACCACTGTGGAGGAGGATGCCTTATATGTAACACTAAAATTGGACAAAATAAATACATTTTAAAACACCTATAATGTCAATTAAGACCCACATCTGACAAATACTGGCACATGCAAATTTCCATAAAAAGCAGGTCTGCTGATTTTAAGGGAATTCACTGCAACAGCAGAGTGAAACCAAGGAGTCCATTTTCACTGGCCTGAGTGTGTTCTACAGTGAAGCTCACTATGTAATACAGGATTTTTTTGTCTTAAAGTCACATGCCCACAATATTTTTAAAAGACACTATTTCAGCTCAGTTCCTCTCTCCCTGTCTTTTACCCTCCCCCCCCCGCCCCGAGAAACCAAATCCTAAACCGTAAGCACTCTATAAGAAAATTTTAGTTTTAAGAGACAAATGACCAACTGATCAGGAGAGGTATGGAAGATCCCAGCAGCTGCAAATTGGACCACGAGTCTTCAAAATGATTGAAGAAAACATCAAACACAGAAATTTTGCTTAATAATGTCAAGTACAAGGATTACAAAATTTAAAATAAAAATCAGGTGGACTCTAGCGGAATATAATGAAAGAACTGAAACTGTATTATAGTCTTCATTTAAAAACAAAACAAAACATTAGGTTTGTCTACTTGTACCAAGAAGAGAACATCCTCTAGCAAACAGAAAATGCCGCAGCCTTTTTTGGAGTAATCCAATTCTTTATGAAGAAAATGTCACTGGTTTGAAAAGAATTAACCATCAAATTGTTCTTTGAGAGAAAGGGTTGCACTAAGAAGCAGAAGAGCCACATTTACACAAATAATTGGTTCCTAAAACAGGTTGTAAACTTAGGTTTGGAGCCCAAATCTAAAACTGCAAACCCAAAAGTCCCTGCTGAGGAATTAGTGCCCAAGACCTCTAAACTCACAAAGTGTGTAAATTTTTAAATAGCAGGATCCTGGAAACTCCTAATTCTGACATTCGGCATATGCAGAAACTTCTCGGCATTAGGCAAAGTTCATCAGTTTAGTCAATAAACCCACTCTGCAGTAACAAATAGTTTCTCATGATCTTCCCAATAGGATACACACACAGTGCTGCAGTGATTTTTCTCTTCTTCTGTTACCTATAAGACAGGAGATACTTAACTCGACAGCGTAGCAGAAAGGCTTTGTCTCGGCCACAGAACATCCATGTTCTGTGCCCCCCACAGCCTGTGAGTGCTCCCCGCCTGTACCCCCACTTGCCTGGACGGCTGATGCCTGCTGGTGCACTGGTGGTCATGGGATCTAAAGCTCTTCCAAAGTTCACAACAGGAACGTTAGGAACTGGACAAGTGAACTGCATCCCAGCAGCCTGGTGTCGTGCCTGAGAGCAAGGAGACCAGGTTCCTATCCAGATGACCATTCCTGCATTTTACGTGAGACCGTCCCCATGTAAAGTGCATAATCATTTCTTAAATTACAACCTAAGTCTCTCCATCAGGTTTAAAGTGATTTTAATTAATGTAGTTATGGTACAATAACATCAGCTACGTATCCCAGAATTCAGTATCAGAAAACAACACTGCTATAAAGCTTTTTAAAAACCAAACCAAACCACAAAAAACCCCTACCAAAACCAAAAATATGAAAAAGCTTCATAGACAGAATACTGTAGTACCTTTATCTTTTCAGCATAAATGTAATACCTCTGTCCTGAAATGAAGTTATTAACCTTTCTGAAGCTAAGAAAGGAGCAGTAAGATTGGCAAGTAGTACATAACAACAGTACTTGCTATATCCCAGAACAGCCATTATGAAACATTTAATCCCTAGTAAAGGAAGGATTTACAATACATGCTTTTCCTCAGCATTCCCTCTAGGCTGGCATGCAGCAGCTGCTGACTCAGCACACTGTACTCCGAGGTGCTTAAGTCTCCTTATGCTCTACCCAGGGAGTCTATGGATTGGATCCAGGGCCCTGGATGGCACTTCTCAGTTAAGTTCTGAGAATTCAATATTTTTGTCTCTAGCCTCAAGGAAAAAAGAAAGACAAGGAAAAAAAAAGAAGGA